AGTAGTAGCATTAGTAGCAGTAGCAGCAGTAGTAGCAGTAGTAGTGGTGGTGCTGTTGTTGTAGTTGTAGTTGTTGACTGTTGTAATCGCAGTAGTAGCAGTAATTTCTTCTTCCAAGAAATCCAAAGCTATTCCCCCTCTCCGAAATATCCAGACGAAGAATATTCAGTATGAGGGGTCCGTAACTTTCATGCTGCATGCCTCAATGCTTCCTTCTGGCCCCTGCGTTTCGCAGTTCGCAGACAGTGGAGTACTAGATTTTTCTGGCTCCGCCTCCAATCACACCTTCTGACGCACCCTCGCTCTTGAAGTCGAATCCGTAAACTCCTGAATTCCTATTCAGCAAACCGCAAAAAGACAGGGAGAGCGAGAGACATGGAGACACCTTAAAGTTCAAGGTGCGGGCTATAGGTTTCCATTCCTCAGCCCTTTAAGCACCCAACTGCAGCAGCTGCAGCAGCTGTGTCAGAGCGGTAGCAATACACGTGACAGTGTTATGGACCGCGACAGTAGTGGTGGGGCGTCGGAACCCTGACCCCAAACCTTAGACAACCTTTAACCCTGGAACCTAAAACATCCTAAAAGCCTAAACCTAAAGCAGCGAACCACAAACGCCGCAGGCCTGGTTCAGCTTGCGCTGCTTGTCCGTCTGGAATTGCTGAATCTCCGCATCTGTCCGCCTCTGCTCCTGAGATGCCACGAGATACTGGGGTATCCTGGGGTAGTGCGGTGATTAAGGATTTAGGGTATTAGGGACTTAGGATGTTAAGGGATTCGGGTCATGGGATGGTTTCGGGACGACGGCTTCAAACACGAGAACTGTGAGTTTCACGAACTCCAAGCGCTTCGAAGGCTATCGTGCTTGCGTTGTGCATGCATGTATGTACGAATCTGCGCCTAAAAACGTGTGTATAAAAAGTTTATATGCAACATATCTTCACGCATGTGTATATATATATATACATATATATATATATATAGACACATATATGTCCATACATATGTATGTATATATATACACATATGTATCACACAAGGTCCCTACGTAGATACTTACATACAAACTCTCCATACACATACCCGGGAATATCCTCGCATACCGTTCTCTGACATAAACGATTTTATCTTTTGCGTGTTTCCATCTAACTCCCCTGGACCCGGAACGAGTAGGGGCTAATGACTAACTAGAATAGGGCATATTATAGTTTGAAAGTTTTAATACAAAAAGGAACCTGAGGACATGATATGGTAGAATGTACCAAGATACAATAGAAAAGAATAGAACTAGAATAGACTATAACACACACATATGTACATATAAAACATGTATATACATACATACATTCATTCATTCATACATACATACATACAAACATACGTGCATACATACCTGCATACATTCGTGTCTATACATACACATACATATAAATTTACATACTCATTTACATATACATATGCTTATAAAAAATACATAACTCAATACATATACATATACATATACATATACGTATGCTTGTACATATACATATACGTATACATGTACATATACATATACATAATATCATATTCAATTTGGCAATTGCTCAGCCTTCTATGTTAGCTTCATGCCCCAAACCACCAGCGCCTTGTCGATCCGCTGCTCGTCGTCACCGAGTCGCTTGTGAGTGTTCTTGAGCCCCTGAGAAGTGGCGTAGGGATTTGGGTTTAGGGTTTCAGGGTTGAGGGCTTTCAGGGCTTATGCTGCGGCGTCTAGGGCTTTAAGGTTCTAGGGCCAGCCATTGATGTTAGTTTATCTGGTTGCATTCTTATTGGGCCCCTGCAAGTACTTAAGGTTCACAGCTTTCAGGGTTCGTTGTTTTGGGGCTTGGGCTTTAGGGTTTTACGATTTAGGGTTTGGGTGTCCAGTACCGGGCACGGCTTCTGGGTGCTGCAACTTGTTTCGTGAAGTCTTGTGATGCAAGTGTGAGACTACCTCCATATCGTCAAACCAACCGAGCTCCAAACCTTACACCCTTGAAAACCCAATTACACCCCAAACCCTAAAACCGAAATTTAGGTTTTTGGGCTTAGGGAACAGGGATGCACTCGAACAACAACGACAGAACAAAACGGTCGGAAATGACTTAAACACACGTCTCACACTGGACGGCAAAGCGTAACACATGACAAGTTCGGACGCTGGCACATCTAAAATCACAAATGACATCCATACACGGCGGAGGGGATGCACGATAACGTACACGGTTCTACACGTCAACATGCCGCAAATTCACGAACACTTCCCTGCCATCGGGGCTGCAAAGACTCACCCGCCAGGCCGCAAATTCAGTGATGGCACTATGATCACGATTGTCTGTTTGTCTGTTTGTTGTCCTTCTTCTTATCATTATTACTACTGTTCTGACTACTGCTATTCGTGTTGTTGCTATTACTGATACGAGTCGTATTGAAAGGCAAACCCAGGCCTCCACGGCCTTTTGAATCTCCTGGAGGGCGTCTTCCATCTCGAGGCCTTCCGGCGAAGGTGCACCCAGAGCTTCCAAAATCCCGTAATTATGGAATTTACCTTACATCATATTCGGGATCGTGCTGTTATTTACGGTCTATTCCTTCATTAAGCGATGCTTGTACGCGATATCTGCGTTCGTAGTACTTGTTGTATATCACTATACATCAGCATATTGAAATCTAGCATGTTACGAGAAGCTGCTGACATGACTGCATACCCTGTCACTACAGGTCCGGCAGCCACGGCATGGCAGACTTGGGAACCGAGCGCTTGTCGCGCAGGTCGATGACACTCTCGTAAATCTGGTGGTCGCATCCCTGTGTTCAGGGTTCAGCATGGTGTTGAGGCGAGGTTGCTGTGGAGGATTTCGATTTGGGGGCTGACGGTGTCGGTCTGCAAGAAGCGTCCGAGAGAATTTGAGTCTTAGCTGGAGGCCTGTGGCGGGCCGACATCATCATCCTCCATGTCCTCATCCTCGTCGCTTTCTATGTCGCTTCCCTGCACCGAAGGTTGCTAGTCCAGAGCTGCGAACGAGGCCCATGCAACACATCCGGAAGCACCGCGCCTCATCATCCTCGTCCTCCTCATCCTCATCCATATCTTCTTCTTCACCCATGCCCTTCTTCCGCTTGGATCTTTTCACCTGCACGTGCGACATGGGAAGCTGCAATGCCCGCACATGCCGAAAGTCGTCGTCCAAGAACTTTGAACACAGACTTTTGCTGGTTGCTCGGCCTTCTTCTTGTAGACTTTCAGCAACGCACTCAGGAAGGGCGAATTCTCGCCCACCAGGTCTGTGAATTCTGCCTGCACTCGTAGCTGAATGCATACTTCAACGGCAATCAACCATGGAAACTAATGCATAAAGGGGGGAATTCTGTGCACAAGTGGTGGTACGCTGCACTGCAATCCAGCTAGCCGGGCAGGGCCAAGTAGCTGTCGGCAGAAAATGACAACTGCAAATCTGATATGAAAACCATTGGTATGAGTTCTCATAGAGAGCAAGAATAACACCCATAATATCAATTCATGAAGACAGCTCGCGGCCTGAAGGTTCTGCTCCTGCGTGTGCCATTCTTCGATTTCGGCCTCCCAGCTTCCCAAACATGCTGCGACCAAGTCTGCGCCTACGAGTGAGTCAACACTTAGTTTCGTCGCAAAGTACCCCCAAGTAATACTAATCCAAAGAAACGCAACGACCCATAGAGCCGGTGTCATCAACATTGCCTTCTTTTCGCTCAGCTGGTCTTGACATTCTTTGATCTGGAGCATGATGCTGGTCTTGTCTTGCCGACACCTGAAACACCCCGGATGGTGTCTTGATACGTGTGCTCGCGATGTTCATGTCACACAACCATGCAATACAGCAACATGCGGGGAAGCTTACAACTTGCGCATGCACCACAAGCGACTCATACCAGGACTGGAATCACTTGCGCACGGCTTCTGAGACGCATGCTTCGTTGCTTTCTTCAACAGCGCCTTGGCAATGCGTGCCATAACCCGTCAATTTTGTAGCAAGCAAATAGCTGGATCACAAACTCAGGCTTGCCAATGTGTCTGGATCGTTTATTCTTTAACAAGCCTTGCAAGCAAACCTAGACAATCGGAATTTCGGCCACATGGCAGTATGCAAAGCGGCCATACACTTTGCGAGCTGCATCAACAACTCAACAAAGCAGCTTGCATGGTATGATACGGTATGACCATTAACAACAAACCAACGCAGTTTTCCCTGTTGCTCCAACTCCTGCAACGACATGACACGGTTCTACAAAGTGTTGTTGCAGCTGGTGGTACTGCAATCTATTTTGGCCAACCTATTCCGTGCCCGAACCTCGCGCTAACTCTCCAGAAAAAATTGATTCCAGATTTGACGGTAGCCGGGAAGGTGTCGTGCATGAATTGCATGATATGTGTGTGCGTGTGTCTGCGTGTGTCTGTCTGTGTCTGTGGGTCTCTGCGTGTCTCTGTGTGTCTGTGTGTGTAAGTGCGTGTGGGGTGCATGTGGGTACGTGGGGGGTGCGTGTGGGTGCGTGTGGGTGTGGGGTCTGGGTGTGGGTATGCGTGTGTGTTGGCATGTGGGCATCGGTGCGCATGCGCGCGTGCGTGTGGGCGCGTGGGTGCGTAGGCGGGTGTGTGTGTGTGTGTGTGTGTGTGTGTGAGTGGGGTGAGTGAGTGAGTGAG